GGCTACTGTATACACACACAGCCGCATAGAGGATATACCATCTGAGCTATTGTCAGACCAGATATTTTAACGTCAACGATCTCCGGATTTTTGTGGGTTAGCGAGGTGAGATTCTAATGAATTCCGTTTTCAAAACCGGCAAATGACTGTTCATGTACATATTGTTCATGTTATTATTATTTTGCTTGTTCGCGTTGGCATCAACCTGCATAAAGCAGGTATATAGCCTTCGCTTAAGCTGCCATAAAAAAGAAAGCTCATCCTAAGCGAGAGGGCTAGAGGGAAATATAACGATAACGAGATACAGAATACAAAGAAATCCAATGAGTTCAACGTACAATTCAAAACAAGAAAGAAAGGAAAGAAAAACAGAGCCGAATCTACCGATTGATCCATCAATCGACAAAGGGGACTAATCCGTTAGTGTTGCAAAGTAGAAGCTGATTATAGTTGCAGATCTCCAGGCCAGGGCCAGCATATTGCCGATTCTGGATAGGTCTCCGCAGCATTTGATGTGGTAATTATCATAATGTTTGATAAAATTGTTAGAGTATCTAGTATCTAGAGTACGAGTATCTAGTATCTAGAGTATCTAGTGTAATTGTATCCGTTATTATTGTTAAGGGTATCTAGTGTAATTGTATCCGTTATTATTGTTAAGGGTATCTAGTGTAATTGTATAACTTCAGCCATTACACACAGCACACATTAGTTCCTTCCACTTTGGACGATCCTGGGCGAGCTGCCTCAGTGCAACTAGATCCTCGTGTGATGTGAGGGAGTTTGTGGATCTGGAATTTTTCAGGTCGTTGTTGATGGATCGCGGGAGTGTTGTTCTCGGGCGGCCTCGGAACCCTGAGCTTCCTGGCTGAAAGTATGCTGACATAGCCTGCTGGACCGGGGATGAGGTGTCTAGTCGAAGCATGTGGCCAAACATTCTCCACCTAGCAGACTGGATGATTCTGCTGAGTGGCTTGGAGCCAGTGCGCTTGTACAGTGCTTCATTGCGTATTATACGGGGATATTTGACCCCTGTGACTGCTCGTAACTGCTGGCGGTGGAACGAGTCAAGTTTCTTTTCTTGAGTCTCTGTCAGGCTCCATGTGCCGCAGTTATAAAGAAGTATTGGGAGAATAAAGCTGCCGTATAACCTAATCCGAAGGGGTTCACGGGCATGGTTACCTCTTAGCCATATCACCCACAGCTGATGTAAGGCGCATGTTGCTAGACGTTTTCTCCGACTGATATCTTCCTCCACTCCAAGCATCGATCCTAGTTTGACCGTGTTCCGCCATCGCTCGTCTACTCTGTCCTTTTCTCTTTTAATTGTAGTATATTCGGTTTTGGCTTCATTCATTTTTAAATTGTATTCCGCTAACGAGGATGATAGTATGGGTTGATTGTCATGCAAATATTGTAGGCTGGTGCTGATGAAGTCTACGTCATCCGCATACGCTGTTTCATTGGGCAATTGAAGCTGAATATCCAATGCTGGTCGCGGTGAGAGTCGCTCTCGAATCAACCTCAATGCAGCCTCGCGGTAGACAGTAAACAGGACTGGCGATAGAGAATCACCTTGTGGGGTTCCATTATGTGTGACTAATGGTTGGCTGAGAATGTTATTCAGCTTTACTTTTATTGTGGTGTCTGTCAGAAGGCACTGGATGATGTGCAGCTCATCATGATCAATGACTGTTGACAGTATATCGATCAGCCTGACCCTTGATATAGTGTCAAATGCCTTTGACATATCAATGCCTAAGATTGAGATCTCCGACGCAACACGCTGGCATCTTGCTGATAACCACCGATAGCTATATACCACGTCTCCAGTACTTCTCCCTGACCGGAACCCGCTCTGGTTCAGTGACAAGTACCCGTTGATAGCTGGCTTGATCCGCGTCAGGATGACCAATGAAAGAAGTTTACGTAGGGTGTTCAACAGGGTAACTGGCCTTACATTTCCAGGAGGACCTCTTTTCTTTCCCGGCTTTGGTATCGGTATCAGTAGCCCATCGCCTAGCTTGAGTGATTTGTCTTTGGCATAATTGTTGAATGTAGTGGCAATGTTCGAGAACAGTGCTGGTGTTCCATATTTGATAAGTTCAGCAGGTATCCCATCTGGTCCCGAAGCTCGGCCATTATTCAAGCGCTTAGCTGCGGCATGTACCTCTGGCTGCTTTATAGGGTTTTTAACCCATTCAGCGCTGAAGACGTATATATACGTCATTGAAAATGACGCCCAGGCGCGGAGGACGTATATATACGTCTTTTTTCAGTGCGGACGTGTTGACTCGTAGATCGCTCCGCGATCGGTTCCCATGTCCCTCAGCGCCTGGGGAGTCCCCAGAGAGAGTCGCGTTAGTCACCAGCTAAAAAAAACCCGGCTACAAAGTGTTACGTCGCGCTCCGGGGTACAAACATTTGTACGGTGAATTTTTGAATTTGGAGGTAATGTCATCCCGGAGAGGCGAGCTGCTGAGCGTGGACGAAGTGCTAGACGCTGTTTTCCTGGACGATAACAGCGATGTGGAGCCCAGCATCGATAGCGACGATGACGACTGGGATGCTGAGCCTGGCACTGCTGAGGAAGTGGTCGAAATTGCTGAACCCGATGACGGCGACGATGTCAATATGCCCACCCCTGAGAATCCAGCTGAGAACGTAGCTGAAGTCCCAGGTGAGGGCGTCTTAGTCAGCCAAGAGGATGAGAATGAGCCGGTCGTTGTTGCAGAAGTGTCTGCCAGGTCACACAAACCAGCAGTGGAGCAGCTTGCTCCAGGAGATACTGGCCAAGAAGGTAATAATAACTAATTACGTCTGGTGAATATTTTGAATTTTGAATTTGTAAAAACAACAAGTGTGGGTGCTTGCAGCGATCATACCAACCTGTAGATAACAAACTGGCAGCCCAACGTGAATTACATGTCACCTGCTTCTTTGACTGAACATTTAGTTGTCATAATGATCATATGTTGCACTGTAATTGCACATTCTGATTGTTGAGATTTTCAATTTGTTTTCAAAATAATTTCGACCATGTGAAAACCAACGCAATTATGATTATATGTACTTAGCAAGCAATGATACACTACACAATACCATGCAGTACAAAATATCAAGCGTAAATGGGATTCTCTACTCTGTTTACTCCACGTGCTTGTGTAGGGTTGTGGCGTATGGATGAAAACATTCCCGTCATCCCAGAATTTACTGCCGACGCCGGCATGAACGTCAACGTGCCGCCAGAGCCAACGCCGTATGATTTTGTGAAGCTGTTCTTCACTCCGGAACTATGGCAGCTGCTGGTGACTGAGACAAACAGATATGCAGAGCAGTACCTGGCACAATTTGGTGCAGATCTAACGCGACACAGTCGACTGAAGAAGTGGGTGCCCGTCACTGTGCCAGAGATGAAAGTCTTTCTCAGCCTCTATCTGCTGATGGGCATAGTGGTCAAGCCAGAGCTAGATATGTATTGGAGCACCGCTGCACTGCTGAGTACGCCTATCTTTGGCTCATCTATGCCACGAGACCGTTGGTGTGCAATACTATCTTTTCTGCATTTCGCTGACAATGCGACAGCTGATCCACAGGACAAGCTTGCAAAGCTACGCCCGCTGATCGACATGACGTGTGGTCTGTTCCGAACAGTCTATACACCAGCGCGCCATGTGTCTATCGACGAGGAGCTAGTGGCTTGGCGTGGCCGTTTGCAATTTCGCCAGTACATTCCATCCAAGCGGGCCAGGTTTGGTGTGAAGGTATTCGCGCTCTGCGAGTCAAGCGGATATATGTGCGACTACATTATCTACGTCGGCAAGGACACAACATTTGATGACGACATGGTGCGTACCCTGGGAAAGTCCGGTGCCGTCGTAGGCAAGCTGATGGAGCCTCTGCAAAACAAGGGTTATCAGTTGTACATTGACAACTGGTATACCAGCATTGAATTGGCTACTTACCTTGCGCAGCATGGCACCACGATGTGCGGCACAATCCGCAAAAACCGACGCGGGCTGCCAAAGCGCATCACAAACTACCGTGGTCTGTCGCGAGGAGAGTTTGTGTTTCGCTCGTGGAATGGGATCCTATTCCTGCGACTGTCCGACACCAAGGAAGTGCATTTCCTGTCTACCATCCATACGACTAGTATCGTGGACACCGGAAAGCGTGACGTCCATCGCCTCCCGGTACAGAAGCTGGCGCTGGTTCACGACTATAACCAGTATATGGGAGGCGTCGACAGAAACGACGAGATGATGAGTTTTTATACAGCTGCGCGAAAGACCCAGAAATGGTATAAAAAGCTTGCCATCCATCTGCTAGAAGAGTGTCTTCTGAATGCTTTCGTGTTGTTCCGGAAATTCAGCGGTAAATCGAAGAAGCACTCCGACTTCATCACGATCGCATTGAACGCCATGCTGCAGGATGGAAGGAGATCTGGTGCTGCTGCTGCCTCAGCTGCTCCGGCCACACCTGTAGCACGCTCTGTTGCAGCGAGTGGTCATGTGCCCTGCAGTATACCGAGCACTCCAAAGAAGACGAAGCCACAGAAGAAGTGTCGCTACTGTTCGCGGAACAACATCAGGAAGGAGTCTCGGTATTGCTGCATGAAATGTCCTGGCCAGCCTGGACTCTGTGCTGCTCCTTGCTTTGCCCTGTGGCATGAGTAACTGTACATATGTTATATAATTCACCTGTATATAGCCACTTTTCATGATATATATATCCATTGAGTGTATATAAGCCGAAAACCTGTACATGAAGGGAAAAGTGACATCTGAACGCAAAAATTCAATTTTTCTTTATGCTAACTAGAAGCTCCTAGAGTGTTTTAGACTGCTAAAATTGTTGTATTCTGCCTGTGTGTGAGTGGTACAACGGTGCACAACATTGATTTTAATCATATGTGGAGTTTGAAATTTCTCGAAAAATGTATGCAGAGCCTGGGTGGCATGGCCTGTAGCGCTAAATGGGTTAAGGTCTTCCTCTGTCCGTAAGAGCCTAGATGACTCCAGAGCAGGATCACAGAATATAGCACGGAAGTGTTGCCTTAATGCTTCGACTGATTCACTAGGTTGTGCAATGAGTTTGCCATCAGAGTCTTCAACCACAACTGGTGACTGCTGCTGTCGGCGCAGTAGTCGTGTTGCTTTGAACATTTTCGCGTCGTCTTTCATTCGGTCTATTTCAGCTACACGTTCGTCCAGTCGAGTCGATGCTAACTTGAGGCATTCCCGACGAATTTGGTGTGCCAGCCTGTTGCGTCGCGTCTTCATTTCTTTTACCTTAGTTCCATCTCTGCACACCGTAATGTCGAGACGCAGTTTGCGTTTCTCTGCTGCTAGCTTTTCAATTTCCCCGCTGAAGCCATTTCTATGCGTCTTGTTTGTTTTAGGGACGCGGCCCACCGATGTGTTTGCTGCCTCACTCATAGCGTTCACAATATACTGCAGATGTTGCTCCGCATTGACACCTTCCTGCTCTCTGCCGAGGTCCTGTAGATGTTCGTTGATAGCCTCTCTGTACTTTGCTTTCTTGGTCGGGTCACTAAATTCCGATATATTGAATTTTGCGTTGCTGGATATGGCTACTGGCGGCCTCTTGAGCTTCTTGTACAACTTAGTCAGGTTGAGGTTTGCCAGCACAAGACGGTGATCGCTTTCTAAGCTTGTCCCGGCGTATGATCTGGCATCCGGCATCCGTCACCACAATCATGTACATATTGAATTTTTACATTCGGCAAATCGTTAGAACGAGAGAACTTGAAAGCTCAGTGCCCTACGCTATGCTTTTTACCGAGCTCATCATGCGTGTTATTCGAACTGACGGAAGCATCTTTGGGCTGATGTTAAGGAGGAGAAGTATGCGTTAGACCTGTAGAGGGTGTCAGGTAGAATGAGAGCGAGTCACATAATCTGCCAGAGACAGCGTCTCGTCCGGGCCTGACTCCTCTTCACCCTCGAACATCGATATCCACGGATTGGTGTGCTCGATAAACTCCCGGACGCCTGATCGAGGCGGGACATAGAACTCTCAATGGAAGCAAACATCTGGCCTACTGATAACTCCAGCTTCTGGAAACGCTCTAGCGAAACAGGTCTGAATCTACTGACCGATCTGCGGGCCGAATTCCCACTAGGACTTGACGTGAATCCGCACTATTGCCCTGCATGCATTCCCCCGATACACTTGGCATACATACACTTTCTTCCAAGTTGCTTCACGTTATGACCTTGCAGTTGAAAGCAGGGAGCAGTACAATACCATGTACGAGGGAGTAGTACAATATCATGTATTATTATTATTACTCTCATTATCAAATTTTTAGTAGGGCAATCCCCAAAGGCCTAAGGCCTTTTTACAGGGTACCCTAGGAAAGCAAGTTCTGATTTGCGGAATAATTGCAATGAAGAACATAAACGGGCCTCAGCAGTCCAGCGGTCAGGGCCGAGGAAACCAACTGAAAATAAACCAATGTACAGTAGGTATCGGTTATAGCATGGGTGTTTGAAAACCGACTTTCTATTCTTATTTCCGATATTTCTTACACACGATGAATCAAGTGAGGCATATCATATGCACGTGCGCAGGGACAGGAAAACCATCGTACGTCATGCAACGCAGTACTTCTGTGCATGTGGCTGGTCATAGTCCCATAGGGGGTTATGGCTTACCATGTGGCTATGCAACATGAGTTATATGACCACAACAGTTGAATCTGCACCCCCACGACGCAATGAGAGTCAGATCAGAGCGGAATTGGACAGATGTTATTACTACAGGCGATACACTTTGCACTAATCTGGCATGTTTCGCTACACAAAGTCCATTCTTAGGACCCAGATATCCTACTATGGTATAAATTGCTTGTAAGAATAAATTTGCACTTGAAATCCATGTTATGATTATGAAAACATGAGAGTTCATTCGTGTAGGCCGTATATTCTTTTTCACGACCACACTATAACCGATACGGACTGTACTACTTCCTAGTTGAAAGCCCTATTTGAATAAGGCTGTGTTTATATGAGGCGTTTCAACCCGGGTCAGATTTCAACCCGCCATGTACACAAAATGAATGGTGCTTGACCCGGGCTGAAATTTTGCCCCGGGTTGATTTCAACCTTCCCCTTGGGGGAGGGTTGATATCAACCCGGGTCAAAGATATCGTACTACGTACATGTACTTCTGTGCGTATCTCGCGCCCGGTTTGAACAGCAGTGCATGTGTGCGTACAGACCCGGGCTGAACTTGACCCGGGTTGAAATTTCTAATGAAATTTCAACCCGGGTCAAATTTCAACCCGCCATGAATGCGGATTGACTGGCGTGTTTACATGACGCATTGCGCTCGACCCAGGTTGAAATTTTGCCCCTGGTTGATTTCAACCAGGGAGTCATCAAATATGGTACCGGTATTTGACGACTCCCTGATTTCAACCCTCCCCTTAGAAATCGTACTGGCGAACTTCTGTGCGCATCTCGCGCCATGTTTGAATAGCACTGCACAAATAAGTGCACATGCAAATTTCGCGCGAAAGTATTCACGTGACCACACAGGACTCTAGAAGTGGACTTTTGGCGGTAAATCAGTAATAGACTGTCTTCATTGTAAACAACCACCTATTTTTCCATCGTGCAGACTTTCAACCCGGGTTGAACTCGACCGTGGTTGAAAATTCTCCCGTAAACGCAGCCTGAGGCCTAGGCCGTCATCACACTATGTTCTCCGACTCCCGTTTACGTCTACTCAAGTACGTCTATGGTGAAAATCCCAAACGGGTGGTCGTGTCATCAGACAGGCACAGCTCTTAAAAATACCGTATTATCTCTAATATAAGAACAGTCTCCAATAATAGCACGTCTCCAATAATAGAACACCTTGGGGCGGCATTCAAAAATAAAGTGCTCAGTCTCCATTATGAGCACACTGTGTAAATACATTATCTGTGCCGGCGAAAAAACCCTCTTCTATCTTGCGAGCCACGGAAATCACAGGGTAGGTCAGGGCGATGAAATATTGACTGGAAGTATTTACTAAATGTGTCGAGATTCCATTGAATGCTTGTCATGATATTGCCATCATCGTCTGCCAGCCAAACAGGAGGAGTGTTGGTGTTCGACTTCATTTGGCGCAGATTCCGGATTGCATTGTAATAGGAGCGTGGGTCAGGTCGTAAAGCATCAGTAGCTTCTGCCTGCCTTTGCCAGAAGTCGTCTCCATCCTGCCTCAGTATTTTTCTGATTTTGTGCTGAATACTGTTGCGCTCTTCTTTTAGAACTTTTCTTCTGGCAGGATCTGGCTCAGCATGGATGCGTATGTGGAGATCTTTTTGGTCTTGGGATAATTGTTTTATAGTTGGATTTTTGCTCCGAGTTGGCTTAGCACGCCGAGGTTGAATACCAAAAGACGTACATGCGGCACCATGTATAGTCGACACAAAACTGTTCCATAGAGTATCAATTTCTCCCTGCGATGACGGTGGTGGTGACGCTACGACGGGTAGTGACTCAGACAGAATACGTTGATATTGTTTCTGCGTGTCGGCAGAAGGCGGGTTATATGTTACAAAGCATCGGTGGTTGGCTTTTGGAGCATTGTTCGACTTCTTGAAAGAAAGTCGAACATCCGCGATTACTGGATGATGATCCGATCGGGTTATGAAGCCTCCATATGACCGCGCGTTAGTGACAATTGACACGTCCGATTTCCGTACCATGATAAAATCATGTTCCCGACTTGATTCCCATCGTTATGACACAAGCCATCAGCAAACCACGTTGCACGATGCTGCATGCGGTGCTTGAACATTGTGTTAGCTAGTAGCAGGTGGTGTATCTCACAAAATTCAATTACACGGCTTCCATTGTCATTACCCATTCTGTGTTTTGAGTACATTCCTACTGGGTTCGATGAGTCAGCTGGCGAACTGCCTACCTTGGCATTCATGTCACCCAGTACCCACAAGACGTCACGACGATTAACATTTCCAACAGCTTTGCTCAGCAAAGAATAAAATTCATCAGCCTCAACAGGGTTAGCTGTGGAACGTTGTAGGGTAGGAGCGTAGCAGCAGATGATTGATACCCCTCTACTGTTACGACTTCCAGTTAGCAGTATCCGTAGCGAAACTACTCGGTTCGAAAAAAATTGGTACGAATCGATATTTCTTACAATATTTTTATTGACGAGAATTCCTACTCCAGCTCTGGACGAAGTGCCTCCAGAACGATACAATGTGTGGCCATTGTCCAACACATCGATACCGTTGCCTTCCATTCATGTCTCAATCAGGCCGAGGACGTCCAGGCGGTAGGTATCAAAGTCCTGAATAATCTGTTGTTTTTTGATTTTAGTCCGCAGCGAACGAACGTTGAACGTGCCAACACGGCACGACGGCGCTCCAGCTCTTTCATGTCTCCGGTGAAAAACAAGCCCAGGCTTCAGGCTATCACTACTCATTTGTCAAAAAACTTGGCTTAGACATAGTCCGAGGAACAGAAATACCCTCCAGAAGGAGAGCTGACGGGAGTTCAACCCGCCATCACATAAGGACAGTGATTATTCTATGGCCTTGGTAGCGCCTCTATATCTGTTACCTGGCATGGCACCACTCTGCGCTATCACCTTTCCCTAGGCACCCTGTGCAATGCATCATGAAAAATGGGCTGGTCACACCCCGCAATATCATCACCCTCATCTAGCACCTAGGCACTCTGCACAATGCATCATGAAAAATGGACTTGCCACACCCGGGACCCGACATAATGATAATTTTCACACTCCATAGTGACGGAGTTCACACCTTCTGAGTATAAAATCAGTGTATCATACTTTGTTTGATCATCCATCTG